TCCATATCATCAAGACCGACAAGCTCAAGGCGATGTTCATTGCAACCTGAAGGATCTGCCCCCAGAAGCCGAGCCGAGGGGGAACCTGCAGTATCGGCACCGAGACAAAGCGTTGCCAATCATGGGGGCAGAGGTATGTTTCAAGCTGGCAATGCGACCAAGCGATAAAAAATCAAATAACATAAAATCGGGCAGCGATGATTGAACAAATGTTATCTCTCGTCTGGGCCGCTGGCTGCAGCCTGGCGGCTTCGACGGCGACGACGACGGCGAAGCGGAAATGTCTTGTCGATCGTGCACCTCCCAGTGGGGCGGTGCAACCACCCCCCAGCATTTCTCAATCGCTTGGCCGCAGCAAACCCAACCCAGCAGCACCCTGGCCGGCGCAGCGGCGGAGCGAAGCCAGGCAGCGGCGGCGAATCGTCTGGGCACGACAGCGCGCACGTGCCAGGCACGCCGCAATGCTCGCATCTGGACCCGCGCCCCGGGCGACGGGGATCAAGCCTGGCGGCGCGCACCCCCGTTCGCCTGCTGATGTGGGTCAGACGGGCAAAGAACTCCCAAAGGAATCGCCCCAGCAAAAATCGAATGGAAACACATCTGTTGAGGCAGGTACAGCCCCGACCAAGAACAACCCAGGAAATTACAGCTGGCCTGGATCACGGATTGCAAGATGCGCGATATGAGGATGCAAGGGCCTTGGAAGGCCATTCTTGGAAGCTCTTCTAGCGCGAAACGGCGAACGAAACTGGCCAAGGATGGACCGAGGAGGCAAGGATACAAGGGTGCCCTTGGGAAGGTTGCCCATCCTTCCTATGCTTAGGTCGGGCATGTCCTCCTACAGGCGGATTGTGGACGAAGAATGGAACACTTTAAATGTATATAGACATGCGTGTAAATGTAAATGTCGATGTACATGTAGACTATACATGTGCATAGATATATGTATATGTAAATGTAGATGTGAATGTGTAAATACATACATATACATATGTATAAATAGATGTATGTATACGTATATGGATGTGTATATGTATATGTAGTTTGTATGTAACTGTAGTTGTAAAATATATGTATATGTATATGTATATGTAAGTGCGTGTGTACATGTATATGTATATGTGAATGAATATGTATATGTATATGTATACGAATATTATTATGCATGTGTATATGTATGTGCACATGTAGATGTACATTTATATGTATACGAGTATGTATGTGTATATGTATATGTATATGTATATGTATGTGCATGTGTATCTGCAGGTGTAAATGTGTTTGCATATGTATATGTGCATGTAGACGTGTATATATATATATATGTAAATGTATATGTATTTGTACATGTAGATGTAAATGTATATGTATATGTATATGTATGTGTATATGCATATGTATGTTATATGGATGTGTCTGTGCATATGCATATGCATATGTATGTGTGCATGTATACGTGTATGTGTGTAAATGTTTGAGTATGTGTATGTGTATGTGCATGTGCATATATATATATGTAGATACATAGGTGTGCGTGTTTATGTATTTGTATATGTATATGTGTACGTGGATGTAAATGTATATGTTAATGTAGATTTGTACATGTATATATGTATATGCCGATGCATATGTATAAAATCGTCCCCAGGCTACGTTTGCCCATATTCCTCCTGTAGAGGGACACGCCCGACTTAATCCTACGCGGGTTGACCGTAAGAGCTCACCTCTTCCTGGCCCCCAGAAGGCTGGCCCCCCCCCATGAGCAGGCGGCGGGCGCAGGGGGGGGGGGCGCGGGCGGGGGGCGGCCTTGTCTAAGCACGAGGGGGGGCCTGCTCGATGGGGGGGACCTAAGAGGCCCTCCAAATCTCCAGATCTCGGGCAGCTCGGGGGCCCCCAGGAGGGGGGGGGAGGGGCATGTCGTCGTCGGGTGGGGGGGGGGGGTAGGGGGGGCGGATGTTCCCGTCGGTTCTAGGAGGGCCTCCCGCCTCGGGATGTCTACCAGCAGCTGCGCCTGTGTGGATGCTCAAGGGGGGGGGATGAATCGACCTGGAGTCGGCGATACGTCGCCGGTGGACAACTGATATAGGCCCCCGAGAGCGAGGCCGCACACTCCTGCGCGAGGTGGGTCTGCCAGAGCCCCTGGAAGCGATGAGCGGGCGAATGGGGGGGCGATGCACTCCCCACTAACCCTATCCCCCCCCCTGACATTGCTCCTGAAACAAGGGGGCGGCGCGACAGCAGAAGGAAAAAGAACTGCAACAACATACAGTGGAGGCCAGTCCACAAGAAACCCAACCCTGAGACCCCAGGACGTCCATTGATTTTTGGTGCGGGAACGTCACGCCTTCCACAGTAAAGCCATCGAAACCCAAGAAGCCCAGGGCGCCCTGGAGGCAAGCAGGGTGTTTCTTGGCATGGGCCTCTTTGTCCACACGGACTTCTTTGGATCGGGCGTTGGCAAAAACCGGGTTTAGTGGGACCTGGTTTAGTGATGCGTACTGGAGGACGCCCCCCCGCCCCGTTCCACTAACCGGAACTGCCGTCACCCGAAAAAACACCAGCTGCGGCAGACCTGGTTCAGTGATTCTGGCCAATTTAGGGGCTCCAGGGCCCTACTACTAACCGGGTCCCCTTACCTGGGGTCCTGGCTATACCCGATTGGATCTGCGCCGGAGATCCCCCGCCCCCGGCGCACAGGGGGGGCGCAGGCACGCCGAGACCCAAGAGAGCCGCGCGGAGCTCCAAGAGTTTCACTGTTTGCGCCGCTGTTTGGAACGCTGGAAGACATACTAGTATTGCGGATGCCATGACCATGGACACTCTAACAATCCGATCATTGAATCAAAAATGTGCTTTCAATGCGTACAACATTTTTCCCCAATCAGAGCTTGCCTCTGTAGGGGTCCTAGCGGATTCATATGGTTAGGCTAGGTTTGTCGCCGATTTTCGCTGCACGCCCGGGTGCCGGGGTGGCGGGGGGTGCCCGGGTGCCCGGGTGCCCGGGGGGTGCCAGGGGGTGCCCGGGGGTGCCCGGGGGTGCCCAGGGGTGCCTGGGGGTGCCCGGGTGCCCGGGCGTGCCCGGGGGTGCCCGGGGGTGCCTGGAGGTGCCCTATAGCCTTATAGCCCAGTAGCCCAATAGCCCTATAGCCCTACAACTCTATAGCCCTACAGCTCTATAGCCCTATAGATCAATAGCCCTATAGCCCTATAGCCCTATATATAGCCCCCTAGCCCTATAGCCCTGATTGGGGTTTTTCCCCAATCAGAGCTTGCCTCCGCAGGGGTCCTAGCGGATTCATATGGTTGGGTTAGATTTGTCGCCGATTTTCGCTGCACGCCCGGGTGCCCGGGTGCCCAGGGTTGCCCCGGTGCCCGGGTGCCCGGGTGCCCGGGGGGGGCCCGGGGATGCCCGGGTGCCTGGGGGTGCCCGGGTGCCCAGGTGCCCGGGTGCCCCGGTGCCCGGGCGTGCCCGGGGGTGCCCGGGGGTGCCCTGGAGCCCTATAGCCCAATAGATCAATAGCCCTATAGCCATATAGCCCTACAGCTCTATAGCCCTACAGCTCTATAGCCCTATAGCTCAATAGCCCTATAGCCCTATAGCCCCCTAGCCCTATAGCCCTGCTGGGTTTTTTTCTCCGGTATCATTTAGACATCTGGAAATCATTTGGCAGCATGCTTCCTCTTCATTAATCGACTTACACAATACTAGTACTACGTGTCCTCCTCGGAGGCGCGCGCCCGATCAGAACGTATACGTCGGGCTCGTTTCGTGCCGACTTCGGCGTCGGTTTCTTACACCGCGGGGATCGTTCGGCCTTGAGCGATCGGCCGTTTCCCAAACGTCCATATCGTTCCACATGGAACGATTCTGGCGGGGTCGCCGCCGGTCGACACGACATGAACCGACCGTAATACATCCATCTTGTAGCATATCGTTTCCCGAGCGGCACGGCCAGATAGTGCCCACCACGGAGCATATACTATTAGATTTCTCGGCGCGCGTCGCCCCTTCGGGGGCGACGCAGAGATAGTGAACGTTTTATTACTCGGCGTTTCGACATTGGGCGGAAGGGGGGGGGCGGGGGGGGGTCTGGCTCCGGACCTATGCTTAGTGCGACTGTTTGCAACAGTGCATCCTGTGGGGAAGAGGCTCCACCTGCTCGAAGCAGGCGCCAAAAACGGCCAAGATCTACTCCAGGGGGGAGAGGGAGGGGGGTGCGAGGGCCCGCGCCGATCGGCAAAACAATGGATAAGAAAACGATCACATGGATGGGGCGCTCCAAAGAAGGAGTTGCCTTCGGGGATCGAAGGAGTTGTCATCTCTTCCTCGGCGGAAGGCGGCGGCAGGGCGGCGGAAGGTCGGCGGAAGTAAAACGAGGCCGCCTTCGCAGGCGGCAGCCGGCGAAAGGGCGGCGTAGGGCGGCGGAAGTAAAAAGTTGCCCCCAAAAAATGTAAACGTTTTTGGGCGCAGTGCTTCCGAAATCGAGTACGCCCGGGTGCCGCCGATTGCTGCTGCCCCTCGACGGAACCCACGGGGATGGCGCGCCACGGGCGCGGCCCTCTACAGGTGTTTTTGTTGGGGGGGGGGCGGAAGCAAAACGAGGCCGCCTCCGCCGGCGGAAGCCGGCGGAGGGGCGGCGGAAGGCGGCGGAAGTCATCGATCACGCCTGGGTGCCGCCGATTGCTGGTGCCCCTCGGCGGAACCCACGGGGGTGGCGCGGGACGGGCCCGGCCCTCTGAAGGGGTGTTTTTGGGGGGGGGGGGGGGGGGGGGGGGCGGCAGGCGGCGGGTGGCCTCACGGAAGTCGGCTGCACGCTGGAGGGACCCCAGGCAAGATTTCTTGCAGCAACAACACCAAGAAGGATATAATACTAATACATAACATGTACATATATATGCTTTTTTTTTAATATTAATATTTAATATTTATTTTATTTTATATATATATATATACAAATATAAAAAAAAGAGAGACTGGCTTCTTGAGTTCCAGGACTGCTGTATCCATGCTTTGGATTCCCACAGACCTCCGGTGCGCGGCGGCAGGGGGGCCGCGGGGGAGGCCGAAGCCGAGCCACCCGAGCGCGCCCGCCAGTGCTGGCAGGACCCCTGCCCGGCGGCGACGGCACGGGCGAAGAGCCTTCGGTCGGGCGTGTCAAATCGGCCTCCTACAGGGTGATTTTGGGCGACAAATCAAGGATTGCACAAAATACTTCAAAATAGTCCGAACTAAAATCGGAAGATCGTCCCCACACGATTTGTTGACTCTTCGGCTGCGCCCTCCTGCTCCTCCTCCTCCTCCTCCTCCCTCTCCTCCTCCTCCTCCTCCTCCTCCTCCTCCTCCTCCTCCTCCTCCTCCTCCTCCTCCTCCTCCTCCTCCTCCTCTCTCTTCCTCTTCCTCTTCCTCCTCCTCCTCCTCCTCCTCCTCTGTCTCTTCATCTGTCGCCATCTCTGCCGCTGTCTCTCTCTCTCTCTCTCTCTCTCTCCCTGCCTCTCTCTATGATCCTCAAAACGCGTGCGTCAGCGCCAACGTCCACGGCCACGCTACAGTCGGACCTAGGCCAGGAGAACACCCCATCAAGAACATGAGACCCTCCGTCGACCAAAATAAACAGAACATCCAAGGGTACCCTTCCCAGGATGCACAAGAACATCCAACAAACACGAAGAACACTAGGGCACCCTCTTCGAACCGACCTCGATCTTATACCTCGGTCCAACTCTAGCGGCGATGTTGGTTAACGGCGAGATGCTCCAGTCTCTGCGACGCCCAACTCGCGCAGAACAGATTGCAGAAAAAACAGAAACAGGCCTTCCCTATCATCGGGTTGGCCTCGAACCAACCCCCCACCTGCAATGCCGAAACCTACAGCGCCGTCACCTGCATCGCCGTTGGCGTGTCTACTGAACGCGTGCCTGTCCACCAGAGCCCTCCGATGCGACGCAGGTGGTGCAGCGATGCCCGACACGGGCCGAGCGGGGTTGACGCGCATGGGGCCAGCACGCGTCCCGAGGATCAATCATTGGCTCTTGGCCTCCCTGCCTCGACCGGGGGGGGCCCAGGAGACGGAGCCAGCGGGGGATGCCGGGAGCCCTCCCACAGGATGGACCCCCGGGCCCCCAGCGGAGGAGGACGAGGAGGACCAGTGTAAACCCAAGAGCCATCAACGATGTTGAAATACACCCTCCCTCCAAGCTCTCTCTTCATGGGCCCCTGCAACGGTTCATTTCCATTGAGGATCTGCCTCATTTGAAGACAACCGTTTGAAGACCTGGAAGCATGCCAAAGCATTGTTCCAATTCTGGACGTCGATCGTGGGAATCCGTGAAACTCTTGCAAATGTTATGAACGAATGTGCGCGGCGCTAAAGCGAGAGCCACATGTCGAAAACCAACCGCCCTCAATCCGTGAAACTCTTGCAAGGGTTTAGAACGGATGTGCGCGGCGCTAAAGCGAGAGCCACAGTTTGAAAACGGGTTGTCCTGAATCCGTGAAGCTCTTGCAAATGGTTAAACAAATTTGCGCGGCGCTAAGGCGAGAGCCACATGTTGAAAACCACCCGCCCTCCATCTGTGAAACTGTTGCCAAGTTTTTTAGCTTCAGAGTCATAAACGGTGAGGAAGTCTCAGGCGAAACGCCCGGCCCGCCCAAAAAAACTAGTGTCGGGGTGCGACAGGGTGAAGTTATTTGTATAAGAAAAGGGAATGGAGGAGGAGGGTCCCCCAGGAAGCCCCCAGAGGGCCCCAAAGAGCACTCAAGACAGCCAAGAGGCCCCCAAGATGCGGAGGCAGAGGAGAACGAATCAGCTGCAATTACACGCAGGCAGCACGGCGGGAAGCGGCAAACAGCACATACGAAATCAGTAGTCACACGTACCCTCTTCTGGGCGGCGGCGGACTGGCGTAAGCCTCTTGACTCAACGTGGCTCTGCTCATCCCGCGAAAACAACCATAATTCTCTCAAACCTGCGCTGCGCGTTGGGCGGCATACGGCACGGATGAAAGGCTTCTCCGTCGTCGTCGTCGTCGTCGTCGTCGTCGTCGTCGTCGTCGTCGTCGTCGCCGTTCCTCTCAAGCGTTCCAGCCAGCGGGAAATCGAGCAACATCGTCATCGAGTCGAGCGGAAGCCCATTCCCTTGGATCCCTCCCCCGCAGGGAGGGGGGGTGGTCCCCAGGGGGGTTGGGGGAGGGGGTGTGGGAGGGGGGGGGGGGTCCCAGAGGTTGTGACCCCCCCCCCTGGGGGGGGGGGGAGCCCCCCTCCCTGGGAGAAGCTTTCGCCTCCAGAGCGTCACCCCCCCCCCTGGGGGGGGGGGGAGCACCCCTCCCTGGGAGAAGCTCTCGCCTCCAGAGCGTCAGCGTCGTCGTCCTCGCCGTCGGCGTCGCCGTCGCCGTCGCCGTCGCCGTCGCCGTCGTCGTCGTCGTCGTCGTCCCCCTTCAGGGTCGGCGGCACTGGCCGCAAGGCCTTCGCAACATGTTCTGGTTCGGGGGAGCGCCAGTCCTGCGCAGCCCGTTGGGCGGCATGCTGCCCGGATGCCACCAAGACGGTCCAAGAAGCGCACAGCCCAACAGCGCCTACACAGCCCAACAGCGCCTACACAGCCCAAGACGGTCCAAGAAGCGCCTACACAACCCAACAGGACCCCAAGACGGTCCGAAGAAGGCCCAAGAAAGTCCCAAGATGGCAAAAGAGGCCCCCAAGACGACCCCAAGAGGCCCCAAAAACGGCCTCAAGGAGGGGCCCAAAAAAGGAACTCGAAGTGACCCTTCGAGCCCTTCACCCCAAGATGACCCCCAAAGTCCCCTAGAGGCTCCCGCAGCGCCCTCATGAGGCCCCAAAGAGGCCCCCAAGAGGCCCCCAAGAGGCCCGCAAAAAGACCCCAAGAGGCCCCCAGAAGCCCCGAGAAGCCTCGAAGAAGCCCCCAAAAGGCCATCAAGAGGCCCCAGGAGGCGCCGCCTCGCGCTCTGCCAGGCTAGAGGTGCATGGTATGATTTGGTGGTACTGCGCGGAAGCGAAAGCGCTGAACTACGAATCAGCGAAGGTCTCCGAAGCTCAAACCTCTTCGCCCCTCGCCACGCGGCCCTCAAACACCAGGAGCGCGCTGGATCGGCGGCACGAGCCACGGGCCATGAAAATACGCTTTGATCTGGGGAAATGCCAACCCTGCACTGCGCGTTGGGCGGAATGCGGCACCTCACCAATGCAAACGGTTTGCGTTTGTGCGTCTTGCTTTGGCGATGTTAACTACGATTGGTCCATAACCGTTATGCGAAATGTGCCGCGTATGACACATGAACCGTATGGCTTTCGCCCGTCCTGGCATAAGCGAGCCAAATCCCGCCAAGTCATGTCGCGCGTTCTGAGGAGGGACGCAGACGCCGGGTCGCAACTTGTGAAGAGCGTTTCGCTTGCACCTGCGGCAGACACAGGCGACGGAGGAATCAGTGGTTAGGAACGGCGCACGAAGGGTTGCTGAGACCCACACTGGGGCGATTGCCGCTGACTGGTTGTTGTCCGCATGGCTGAGCGGGCTCCACTCGACGTGGTCTGGCGCGATGAACAGCACCTCTGCCCGGGTCGGATACAAGCGTCACAGGCCGTATGCGTTCACTGGTCCGTCACTCACCCTCTCTCTCTGTCTCACTCTCTCCTTCCCTCTCTATGTCTATCTCTCTTTGTTTATTGTTTTGTCTCTCTCTCTCTCCATCGATGTTTATATACACATAAATATGTATACACGCGTATGTTTTTCTCACTCATTCTCTCTCTCTCTCTCTCTCTCGATAAATATATATGCATATATACACACACATTTATATTGTTGTGTTTGTTTCTCTCTCTCTCTCTCGTTCCCTATTTGTATACATACATATATGTATTAGTATATGTACGTACATATGTTACACATATCTATTTGTGTATATATGTGTGTGTCATTCCATATGTGTACACATGAACATGCACGCGTACCGGCATGTATCTTCGATGAGCCCTCGAAGCGGTGCGCAAACGGTGAAACGGGACGAGCGATGTGACAGTGATTCCCCTCTGTAATGATGGGTGGCGGTGCTGCGGGCCCTGTACGCAGGGCAGCTGCCACTCCCGGGAACTTGATGCCCCAGGGTGGGGGGAGGGGGGAAGGGGCAGGGGGGGGGGGGAGGGGGGAGGGAGGGAGGGGGGAGGGAGGAGGGAGGAGGGAGAGGGAGGAGGGAGGAGGGAGGAGGAAGAGGGAGGAGGGAGGAGGGAGGAGGGGCTGTGGGCGTGTCCTTCCGACACGGCCGAGCGCCGGAACCCAAATGGCCACAGACGTCGGGCCGGGAAGAGGATGCACGCTCGTGTTGGCACGGGGGGGACCCTCCTCGATGAGCCCCAAAAAGCTGCGCGAGAGCGGCAAAGCGGGAAGAGTGACGTGACGGTGATTCCCTTTTCATGGGTGGCGGCGGTAAACCGTCAAGCTTGGTTACCGCCGGGAACTCGTAGAGTTTCCTCGTGCAATGCGGGCGCGGAATCTCGCATTGCGCGCACGAGGGCGCGGTCTCAGGGAGAAGGACGTGACGGGGGCCCTGCACGCAGGGCACCTTGCCACTCCCAGGAGCATCGTGCCCCCTCTCTCCGATGGAAGCGACTCACCAGGAAAACCGAAGGGGGTGATGGGAGCCCGGAGGAGAAAGGCGGATGCTGGGCCCCCCCCCCCACCCCGGACACTGATAGCGTCGAGGGGCCGGCCGCCTTCCCCCTTCGCCCCTGCTTTCCCACTCTGTTATACGACGTCGTCACCACCGCGCGCCTCCACCGGCCCAAAGTGAAGAACGCTCGAGGGTGCCCTCCCCCAGGATGCACAAGAACGTCCAACAAACACGAAGAACATGAGGGTAAGTCATTTGCCAGGCATATCAAAATGAGTGCAACATAAGTCAACACAAGTGCTCATATCTGGTCTAGGACTGAGTATGCCCAACTATTCGGGCACCCCGGGTCCAGTTCGCCACCAGCGTTTCGACGTGTGGTTGGCCATCCTCTTCAGGACCTGCCACAACCAACCACACGGGGCAGGCCCACGCTGACACGAACGACTTTTTGGCCTTGAAAGAAGGGAGGAAACAACTGGGTACCCTCCCCGAGCCGCCCTCGATCCCATACCTCGGTCCGCCCGCAGGGAAGCCGGGACGCTTCGCCACTGCTTGGCCTGAAGAGGGGAGGCGCGGGCCTCGGGCGCCGTGCGGCGGCTGCCCTTGGCAGGGTGCGGGCGCTCCCCATATGGCCCCTCCGCCCCCGTCGGGAGGAGGCGGGGGCGCGGCCGGGGCGGGAGCGGGAGAAGGTGGAGCGAAGGGCAGCTGAGAGCGGGGAAGGTTATGCCATCCCTCCTCCTCCCCCTCCTCCACCTCCTCCTCCTCCTCCTCCTCGTCAGTAGAAGCAGAATCGTCGTCATCGACATCGTCAGCGTCATCAACCTGGCGAGATCGGAGGAAAGTGTGGCGAAGGGAAGCTAAGGGTATGGAAGGACATACCATCCCTCCTCCTGCTCCTTCTCCTCGTCATCCCCATCCTCATCCTCATCCTCCTCCTCCTCCTCCTCCTCCTCCTCCTCATCATCATCATCATCATCATCATCATCATCATCATCATCATCATCATCAGCATCATCATCATCATCATCATCATCATCATCGTCAGAATCATCGTCATCGACATTATCAATGTCATCAACGCGACGAGATCGGAAGAAGGTGAGGCGAAGGGCAGATGAGGGTGGGAAAGGACATGTCATCCCTCATCCTCCTCCTCCTCATCTTCATCATCATCAGAATCAGAATCGACGTCATCGATATCCTCAGAGTCATCAACGTGGGGAGATCGGAAGAAGGCGAGGCGAAGGGACGCTGAGGGTATGGACGGATATGGAATCCCTCCTCTTTATCAGAATCAGCAGAATCATAATCGTCGTCATCGACATCCTCAACGTCATCAACGTGGCGAGTTCGGAAGAAGGTGGGGCGAAGGGAAGCTGGGGGCATGGAAGGATATGCCATCCCTCCGCGTCATCATCATCAGCATCATCATGATCATCAGCAGCAACAGCATCACAATCGTCGTCATCGACATTATCAACGTCAACAACGTGGCAAGATCGGAAGAAGGTGGGGCGAAGGGCAGCTGAGGGTGGGGAAGGGCATGCCATCCCTCATCCTCATCATCAGCAGCATCAGAATCGTCGTCATCGACATCCTCGACGTCATCAACGTGGCGAGATGGGAAGAAGGTAGGGAGAAGAGAAGCTGAGGGTGTGGAAGGATATGCCATCCCTCCTTCTCCCTATCATCAGCAGAATCATGTTCGTCGTCGTCGACATCCTCGACGTCATCAACGTGGCGAGATGGGAAGAAGGTGGGACAAAGGGAAGCTGAGGGTATGGAAGGATATGCCATCCCTCCTACTCTTTATCATCAGCAGAATCAGAATCGTCGTCATCGACATCCTCGACGTCATCAACGCGACGAGATCGGAAGGTGGGGCGTAGGGCAGCTGAGGGTGTGGAAGGATATATCATCACTCCTCCTGATCATCGTCAGCATAATCAGAATCGTCGTCATCGGCATCCTCAACGTCATCAACGCGGCGAGATCGGAAGAAAGTAGGGCATAGGGCAGCTCAGGGTTTGGAGGGATATGCCATCATCCCTCTTCCTCATCATCAGCAGAATCATAATAGTCGTCACCGACATCCGCAGCGTCATCAACGTGGCGAGATCGGAAGAAGGCGGGGCGAAGAGAAGCTGAGGGTATGGAAGGATATGCCATCCCTCTTCTTCATCATCAGGATTGTCGTCATTGACATCCTCACCGCCATCAACGTGGCGAGATCAGAAGGTGGGGCGAAGGGAAGCTGAGGGTATGGACGACTATGTCATCCATCCTCATTATCATCAGCATAATCACAATCGTCGTCATCGACATCCTCACCGTCATCAGCGTAACCGCCGTACTGGGCATTATCGATATCATCGTCACCACCACCATCAGCATACTCACACACAGCAGTGTCGTTGCCCTCCTCACAATCATCATCACCATCACCACCATCATCATCGTCATCATCAACCTCAGCATTATCATCATCCCTACCATCATCATCATCAAGATCATCAGCATCATCATCATCATCATCGTCATCATCATCATCATCATCATCATCATCATCGTCATCATGATCAGCATCGTCATCATCATCATCACCACCATCATCATCATCACCATCACCATCATCACCACTATCAGCATCATCATCAGCAGCAGCCTCATCATCAGCATCGTCATCATTATCGGCGGTATCATCATTAGCATCATCACCAACATAGTCAGAATCACCATCATCATCAGCATCAGCAGCACCAGCAGCACAATCCCCCTCCGTAACTATCATCAACAACATCATCATGCTCATCGTCATCATCATCATTGACATCATCATCAGCAGCAGCATCAGCATCATCAGTAGTATTAGCATCATCATCAGCAGCAGCATCCCCGTCTTCATCTTACCGCAGTCGTCATCACCACCATCATCCTCACCATCGTCATCTCACAGTTAATCCTCCTCATCCTCTTGGCGCCCCTCCTCCTCATCATCAGCATCACTTTCCTCCTCACCATCATCATCAGCATCATCATCGTCATCATCATCATCATCATCATCAGCAGCAGCATCATCATCTTCATCATCCTCATACTCATCCTCGTCCCTTCCTGCTCCTCCTCATCCTTCTACTCCTCCTCCTCCTCCTCCTCCTCCTCCTCCTCCTCCTCCTCCTCCTCCTCCTCCTCCACCTTCTGTGTGTAGCAAATAAGGGCATGCGAGAATAGAGGGGGTCCGACCTTCATCGGCACGGTGCCACAATACTCCTGCCACTCGTGCTGGCGCAATTCGCACGCGGACTTGTTGGTCTTGGCTGCGGTCTCCTCCTGTTGGCGACAGGGGCGGAGGCAAAGAGGAGAGACAGAGCAGGCGGAGGAGGCAGAGGAGGAGGAGAAAACAAGGAGGGGGACTGGGCCAGGAATCGAGGAGGGCGGCACGTGAGCTGGGCCAGGGATCGAGGAGGACGGGGCAGGAGAGAGAAGGAGGAGGACGATGAGGATGAAGGGGATGAGGAGGGGGGAAAAGGGAGAGGAGAAGCCAGCGAACACCGTGAGATCCCAGAATCTTCGGCCCAGCCAGCCAGTACAAGGCCGCAGTCAGGAGTGGACGGGGACGCCGTCGGGGTGGAGGGCAAGACGACGCCGTCGCGGAGCAAATGGGCATCCAGAGTGTGCAGTGGGGCGAGCCGGTGGCACTGGCGCAGCGGCATGCTGCCGCAGAGGAGCGCTGCTGCTCCTGCCTCCCAGGGGGAGGGTGCGGGGCGCGCTGGCTCGAAGGCACCAGCGCTCGCGGCGTCAGCCCAGGAGGCAGGCTGGCGTCTGCGAGCGTGCTGTCTGTGTCTCCCGCAGCGAGGGTGCGGGCGGGCCCTGTTCTGCGTCTGCAGCTTCGCATGAAGTCCAAAGGGGGGGGCACCACCCGAGAGAGTCAGACGACGCACCGCACAGCCGTGTAGAAGTACATGTGTAAGGCGGAGGTGCGCGGCTCTAGGGCGAGAGCCCCATTTTGAAAACGACCACCCCTCCATCTTTGTACCTGTTGCAAATGTCAAGCTTCAGGATCATGAGAGGGAAGAATATCTCAGCAGACGCGCCCCCCCCCGTCCCGCCCTACCGTCCGGCCTGGGGATGCTACAGGGAGGAGTTATCACCTATGAGGGTAAGTAATGGAGGATGTGACAAATAAACCCTGGAGAAGGGCCCAGCTGAGGGGAACGGAACATGGCATAAACATAAAAACTCGGAGGTCCGCGCTGGACCCCCCTGGCGGCGCCTCCGGCGCCGCCCCTGACGCGCTCCGCGCGCCAGAGAGGGAAACCCCCAGAAGTATCGACCCATTCCTCACGACCGGTTTTTCATCCGGAATCGATTTTTGACGGTCCCGAGCCCCAACAAGGGCCCCTAGAGGCCGAAAGCTGCGAAAAAACTGTGTCGCAATTTTTCCCAACCATCCTGTGGTGTTGGGTCCACGATTTGAAAAGACGATCCCCGCGTTCTCCTCCTCCTCCTCCTTCTCCTCTTCCCCCTCCTCCCTCCTCCCTGCGTTTCACCCACCCAGTACGGCGTTTCGTGGCCCCATAGGGAACTCCACCGAAGCCCCCACTTGGACCGCCCGCATGCGTCCCCCACACCCAACTTGGCATACCACTTACACGTCTTGTGGCCCCATAGGGAGCTCCACCGAAGGCCCCAGTGCCACCGCCCGCATGCGTCCCCCACACCCATTTCGGCACACCCCTCACAGGCTTCGTGGCCCCATAGGGAGCTCCACCGAAGGTGCCAGTGCCACCGCCCGCATGCGTCCCCCACACCAATTTCGGCACACCCCTCACACGTTTCGTGGCCACATAAGGAGCTCCATCGCAGGCCACAGTGCCACCGCCCGCACGCATCCCCCACACCCATTTCGGCACACCCCTCACACGTTTCGTGGCCCCCTAGGGCGCTCCACTGAAGGCCCCAGTGCCACTGCCCGCATGCGTCCCCCACACCCATTTCGGCACACCCCTCACACGATTCGTGGCCCCATAAGGAGCTCCACCGAAGGCCCCAGTGCCACCGCCCACATGCGTCCCCCACACCCGTTTCGGCATACCCCTCACACGTTTCGTGGCCCCATAGGGAGCTCCACCGAAGGCCCCAGTGCCACCGCCCGCATGCGTCCCCCACACCCACTTCGGCACACCCCTCACACGTTTCGTGGCCACATAGGGAACTCCACCGAAGGCCCCAGTGCCACCGCCCGCATGCGTCCCCCATACCCATTTCGGCATACCCGTCACGTTTCGTGGCCATATAGGGAGCTCCACCGAAGGCCCCAGTGCCACCGCCCGCATGCGTCCCCCACACCCATTTCGGCATACCCCTCACACGTTTCGTGGCCCCATAAGGAGCTCCACCGAAGGCCCCAGTGCCACCGCCCGCATGCGTCCCCCACACCCATTTCGGCACACCCCTCACACGTTTCGTGGCCCCATACGGAGCTCCACCGACGGCCCCAGTGGCCGCGTTCGCATGGCGTCCCCCGCACCCAGTTCGACACACCCATCACACGTTTCGCGGCACCATGGGGAGCTCCACCGACGGCGCCAGTGGCTGCTTTCGCATGCTCCCACCGCACCTATGTCGGCACCCCTCTCACGGGTTTCGTGGCCCCATTGCGAATTCCACCGACGGCCCCAGTGGCTGCTTTCGCATGCGCCCACCGGACAAATTTCGGCACACCCCTCGCACGTTTCGTGGCCTTATAGGGAGCTCCTCCGAATGCGGTGCATACAACGACGGTACTCACAACTGCATGTGGATGGGTCGTTCGCCTGGCTAATTTCAATGCGTTGGATCTCCCGGGGACGGGACGCGCAGGCGCTCTGGCACGCAGCTGGCCGCCGGACGGGGGGGGGGGCGGGACGGCGCGGCAGCGCCCAGGTGCGGCAGCTCGCGTCGCGGACAGCCGCGGCCCCGACGCGCCAGCGCCCGCCCATGGCGAGAGGCCGCTGCAGGCGCCGAGGCCGCACTGTGGGGAGGAGGAGGAGGAGGAGGAGGAGGAGGAGGAGGAGGAGGAGGCGGAGAGGGATGAGGAGGGAGGAGGAGGAGGAGGCGGAGGAGGTGGTGGAGGAGGAGGAGGAGGAGGGAGGAGGAGGGGAGGAGCAGCAGGAGCAGCAAGAAGCAGCAGAGGAGCAGGAGGAGCAGGAGAGCAGGAGGAGGAGAAGAGGAGGAGAAGAGGAGGAGGGTGAGGGAGGAGGAGGAGGAGGAGGAGGAGGAGGGAGATGGAGGAGGAGGAGGAGGAGCAGGAGGAGGAGCAGAAGGAGGAGGGGGGGGGCCCCACGAGGCCACGGCAAAGCCCCATGCCCCCATGCCCCCCGACCCCCAGGCGCGCGCCATCCTGTCCTGCAATGTACGCCCCGAGGTGCCCATTCCCAGCGGGCGCGGCAGCACGAGCCCAGGCAGCATCGCGGCAGCAGTAGGGCCACGACGAGGGCAGGCGGGAGGGGCGCCACGGGCGCACGACGGAGCTGTGGGGGCACGCGGGTCCTCGGCCCAGTTGTCGTGTCTCCACCCGAACTCGTTGGTCGGGTGATTCGGGCACCCCTTGTACATGGACACGTAGCACCCTGGCTCTGACCTCGGGATCTCACGTCCCCCTTCTCCCCTTCGCCCCCCGAGGTCGAAGAGCAGCGGGGCACAGAGGGATGCAGTGGCGCAGGGTCACAAACTTGTGTGGGGGCATGTGTTTGCCTCTGCCCCTCGATGCGCCCCGCCACCCGGAGCAGGGGACTGGGGAGGGAGAAGGAGAACGAGGAGGAATTGAGTTGAACTGAGCGTCTCTCGATTGAGCTGAACAGGTCAGACTTGAGACCTTGACAGCTGGTCCCCCCGCGTATTCAGCTAAGGACCTTACTGTCAGTAATGTGGCCAGTGCACCCCCGATTGAAATCTGCTTCAGCACGACAGACACTTCTCATAATGAGCACAATATGACAGCGAAATACTTACACTAGGGACAGACAAGCACAGTGCCAGCGTTGACTGCTAACACGACAGACACGAAGAAACTACAAGGCAACACGAGTCAGAACGAAGTACTGTACTGTACTCGACGGTAGTCTGTCGTTGCCCACGTTATCCTACTCTATTCGGCTGTCCTCTACCACGTTCTACTATACAGTGCTGTGTCAAACTCGATCGTACTGTCTTCCTCTGCACTCTTCTCCGCCACCGTGCCCTTGAGGCACGAATTAGAATGTCCTCAGGTCCGTTGTTCGATCTTTTGGAGCCTCAGTCCTCAATCCTGAAGATTCGGTAAGGTCTATCGGGGTTATTTGCGTTCTGCCGCGTGATTTTTTCGAGTCCTAAATGGCCCCAAGACCGACCAAGAGGGCCCTCAGGGGCTCCCGAGGCGGTCCAAGAGGGCTCCGAATCGCCAATAAATGGGTCCAATACGCCCAAGATGGCCTCCAGTCGACCGAAACAGCGTCCAAGACGTCCCAAGAGGCCTCGAAGAGCCTTCCCCCGATGGCCGCATACCAAAATCCGAATTGTTCCAATGGTTATTAAATGTCTCTCGGGCTCTCCATTTGTTGCAGCTTCCGACGCTCAAAGGCGGCCCAAGATGTTTCCAAGACCGCCCCAACACGGCCCCAGAGGACCTCAAGAGGGCCCCAAGACGACCCAAGAGGCCCCAAGACGGCCCAAGAGACGCCCAAGACGGCCCAAGACAGCCCCAAGACGGCCCCAAGAGGGGCCCAAGAGGGGCACACGAACCGAAAATCCGAGCCTTCCGCCCTAAGAGGCGCCCAGGAAGACCCAAGAGACCCCCAAGAGGTCCTAAAAGGCCCTCGAAAGGTCCACGAGGCCCCAAGAGGCCCCAAAACAGCCCCCCAAAGGCCTCAAACCTGCCTCCAGGAGGCCCCCGGGAGGCCTCGACGAGATCCCAAACGACCATCCAAGAAGCCTCGAACCCACAGCCCAGGCACGGTGGCGTGATGGGCCGAAGGCCATTAAATCCGCCGCCCCCTGCTGGCATATGGCTTGGATGTGGTTCTTTTTCCAGAAGAACCTGACAAGATGGCATCCAAGATGCCCCCAAGACGCCTCCAAGACTGCCAAGACGGTCCCAAGAGAGCCCAAGATGGCCCCAAGATGCACTCAAGACGGCCCATGATGCACCCAAGACGGCCCAAGGTGGCTTCAAGATGGTCCAAGACGGCCCAAGAGGCCCCCAAGAGGCCTCCAATAGAGCCTCTGGAAGGCCCGAAGAGGCAAAAACAATCGATGTCCCTTAGGCTCTTGAAAGATTTTAACATTTGCTGTTGTTCGAACTTCCAACGGCCCAAGACGGTCCAAGAGGCCCCCCAGATGGCCCCAAGATCGCCCAAAAGGCCTCCAAGATGGTCCCTTTACGGCCCAAGAGGCCCCCAAGACGGCCCCAAGAGGGCCCCAAGACGGCCCAAGAGGCCTCCCAGACGCCCACGATGGCCTCCAAGACGGCCCTGCAGCACCCCAAGAGGGCCTTGAATCGGTTCAGAGAGGCCCCCAAGACGGCCTCCGACGGTGTCAGACGGGCCACGAACGCCCTCAGACGGCCAAAGAGGCCCCCAAAAAAAACCCAAAGACCCTCAAGGGGCCCTAGAAGGCCCCCAAGAGGCATCCAAGAGGCCCTTCGGAAGCCCCCACGGGCCTCCAAAAGTACCCCAAGAGGCCTCCTCCTCTCCTCCTCCTCCTCCTCCTCCTCCCTCCTCCTCCGTCCTCCTCCTCCTCCTCCTCCTCCTCTCCCTCTCTCCTCCTCCTCCTCCTCCTCCTCCTCCTCCTCCTCCTCCTCACTCCTCCTCCTCCTCCTCGTCCTCCTCCTCCTCCTCCTCCTCCTCCTCCTCCCCAAGTGTTGAACGAATGGTTTCCACAACAACTGGAGAAACACATGGTCAGATAGCTTGGCAGAGTTCTTGCCACAACGCTTGGCCATATGGGCGATTCCAAAAGGCGGGGGGCTGTGGTGATTCGCCATAAGCGTCTTCAATAGAACAAAATACTCTACGTACTCCTTCATACTCTACACTGCTCCTTCCCAGTCTACTCTACTATAGTGTGTCGTGCTCTGATAGGCTCGCCTCTAACTATCGCACTCAACTCACAGTACTCGATCGTAACACGCTCTACTCTACTCTATCGCGCTATGCCGCACTCTGTCGCGCTATGGATTCGATTCTCTACATCGTACTCTACTCTATCGTATCGTCTTCGATTTTCATATACTCCGTTTTAGAGAAGTATACTCGAAGCTTTCGTTCGAATACCCCACACTCAGAAAATCGCCACCGTGACTTCAGCACGAAGTGAGATGCGCCAAGGCTCGTGCAGCCCTGGGAGATACTGGGGCTGTACGGTTTTGATGGGACCGCACCCCCGGTTTCCCAGGCGCTCCCTTTTCTTCGCGTGGGCCTCCGGGACTGCAACCCCGACCAGGAGGACCACAAAAGTGACCTGGATCACTCGAAGAGATCCCCGAAACGGTCTCGGAGGGCCCGAGATCGCTCCTAGACGTCCAAGATGGCCTCAAGACGGCCCAAGAAGTCCCCAAGAGGCCCCAAGAGCGCTCCAAGAGGACCGCCAAGACGGCCCTAAAAGTTCTAAGTCGCTGATTTTCCGTCGGTTTTTGAAGGATTTTGGCCTTCTTGCCTTTTTCAGCTTCCGCCTGTGGAGAATCTATGATTTGGGCCCCTTGGGCCTCTTTGGGCCCACGAAGACCTCAAAACGGCTCCAGATGGCCTCAAGATGGCCCAAGATGGCCCCAAGACGGCCCAAGACTGCCCCAAGACGAACCAAGATGGCCAGCAGAAGGCCCATGAGGCCCCCAAGACGGCCCAAAAGGCCCCCAAGACGGCCCAAATTGGCCCCAAGTGGACCCCCAAGAGGGCGTCTGGAGACCAAATGCAATTATCTCCCATCGGTGTTTGAAAGATTTGGGTTCTCTCGCCTTTTTCAACTCTTAGGGGACCATGTCGGCCCAAGCAGCCTCAAAGATGGCCCCCAGACGGCCCCAGACGGCCCCAGACGCACCCAAGCGTGCCCCAGACCGCCCAAGAGGTCCCCAAGACGGCCCAAGAGGACCCCAAGAGAGCCCCAAGGCGGCCGCGAGAGGACACTCAGACGGCCTCCGAAGGGGCCAGATGGCGCAAGAGCGCCCCAACACAGCCCAAGAGACCCCAAAGAGACCCCAAAGAGGCCCCCAGAGGCCACCAAGAAACCTCCAAGAGGCCCGGGCCCCAAGAAACCACCAAGTGGCCTGCACAATTGCATACGAATGGCGCGTTGTTGGTGTGCTCATCGTTGCTTCTCGTTGCCTTGTGCTGACACGTGGTGAATGCTCAATGCCTTCGTGGACATTCGCACGCTCGCTTCGGCGCTGAAACAGGGAGGGCGCATCCGCCCCCGTGGCGCTGGCAACGCCCCAGGGCGGGCAGAACGAGATGGCAGACCAGCGGGGCAGACGAGCAGGGCAAACCACCCATTGCCCAGTCTTTACCTGCTCTGGACGTGCACCCTGCGAAGCGAGAGAAATCCACGTCCGGAAGGAACGTGTTGCCGGCGGCAGGTCGCGAAGCGGAGCGGAAGCCCTCGTACAACGCATCCCGCACATCCACTTATTACAAGCCTGCAACACGTTGTATGCCCCCAGAATCACGCTACATCCGCGGACCATCGTGACGCCGGCCCGTCTGGGGCCCAAAAACGTTTCATATACATATATATATATATATATATATATATATGATTATATCATTGTATGCTTATATATATATATATGATATGATATCGGCCTCTGAAGCCTCTTAGGGGTCAAAAGCGGCCTCTGGACGGCTCAGCATGGCCTCCAGACAGCCTCCTGACAGCCCCAAGACGGCCAAGGATGGCCCCAACGGGGCCCCAGAGCGTGCTCGCCCTCTTCGACCCTCGGGGGCTCATCTTCCAATATATTTTACCAACTGGCACCCTGAATGAAAATTGATATACTCTCATTGTACCTAATTTGTATTGAGAAATACTTGCCCTGAGATGTTTTGATGTTATTCACTCCAGATAAGCAGCCTTCAAGATGATCTCAAGACGGCCCTGGAGGCCCCCCAGAGGGCCCCAAGACGGTCCGCGTTGCCTTGCGATGACTCGCGGTGAATGCTCATTGCTCTCGTGGACATTCGCACGCTCGTCCTGGCGCTGAAACGGCGGGGGGGGGGGGAGCGCATCCGCCTCCCGTGGCGCTGGCAACGCCCCAGGGCGGGCAGACCGACACGGCAGAACTTCGCGGCAGACGAGCAGGGCAAACCACCCAACGTCCAGACTTTAAGTGCTCTGGACGAGCACCCAGAGAAGCGAAAGGAATAGATGTTTGTTCCTATGGTTTTTTCTATGGTTTTAGCGTGTTCGTCTTTAGATCGCCCCAAGACGGCCCAAGAGGCCCCCAAGAGGCCCGCAAGACTGCACAAGAGGGCCCCAAGACGGCCCAAGAGGACCCCAAGGCGGCCTGAGAGACCTCAAAGACGGCCCTAAAGCGCCCAAAGAGTGCCCCACGACTGCCCAGAGAGGGCCCCAAGACGGCCTCCGAAGGCCAAGATGCCCCATGGAGGAACCAGAGGCCCCCAAGAGGTCCCAAGAGGCCCCAGGAGATCCCCAAGAGGCCCCAGGAGGCCCCCAAGAGGCCCCTTAGAGCCCCCCAGGAGGCCCCCAGGAAGCCTCCAGGAGGCCCCAAGAGGGCCTCAAGAGGCCTATTCTTCCTCCTCCTCCTCCTCCTCCTCCTCCTCCTCCTCCTCTTCCTCCTCCTCCTCGTCCTCCTCCTCCTCCTCCTCCTCCTCCTCCTACTCCTCCTCCTCCGTTCTCTTCCTCTCCCCAGTGTTCCCCAAAGGGGTTCCACAACGGCTGGGGAAACACACGGTCCAATAGTTTGGCGAGACTTCAGCCCAACGTTTGGCCGCATGGGCATTTCCAAAAGGCAGGAGGCGGCGGTGGTTCGCCGTGGGCGTCTTCGACAGAAGACCACCTCGGGTCGGAGGCGAGACTGAGGCCGCGGACGGCTCCCCCCTGACGAGCGTGGTCTCGTCCAGGGAGAGGCCGTGCTTGCGCGAGCTGCTGCTCGACGAGTTGTGCGAACTACCCTGCGACGCGTTCTGCGAGTGCAGCCCGGCCTTGGCCTCGGCCTTGATCCGCCTGGGCGGCACGGCCCTGGCCTTGGTCTCGGCCCCGGCCTGGGGCTCCGCCGCGGGCTCGGCCCTGCGCCGCCGCCTCGGCGGGAGGCAGCCGACCCAGCCGGCCGCCCTCATTCGGCCGCCTCCTCCGCCCCGACCCATCGGGTGTTGCCAAAGGTGCCCCTGGCCCAAGGTGCCCCCAGCTGTTCGCTCCATCTTGGAGCCTCTGGGGCCCTCTTGGCCCCGCGAGGGGTGCCCTGGAGGCCGTGGGAGCCTCCGTGGAAATCCTGAAGGCACCTTGGGCCAGGGGCACTTCTCGCAACACCCGAACCTGCCTCCTGGGGCCAGGCCCTGCCACTGCGGCGCGGGCTCTGGGCTGCAGGGGGCAAAAATGCTCCGCCTCGAACACCCGCCCCCCGCGCTGCCGCCGCGCGCCCAGAGGGCACGCGAGCCAGCCGCACCCGTCGTCCTCCTCCTCCTCCTCCTCCTCCTCCTCCTCCTCCTCTTCTTCTTATTCTTCTTCTTATTATTATTCTTATTATTCTTATTATTATTCGTATTCTTCTTCTTAGTAGTATGATTATTCTTAGTGTTCTTATTATTCTTCTTATTATCATTATTATTGTTCTTATTCTTCTTATTATCATTATTAATATTATTCGTCTTCTTCTTACTATTATTAATTTTTATTATTGTTATTATTGTTCGTATTCTTATTATTATTATGCTTACCCATACTCTTATTATTGTTATTTTTCTTATAATTAATATCATTAATATTATCATTAATAGTATTGTTTGTAATAGTAGTAGTATTATTAGTAGTAGTAGTAGTATTGTTGCTGTTATTGGTATGCGTATTCTTCTTTTTTTAGTATTCTTAGTATGCTTATGATTCTGATTTCTTATTATTATTATTCCTATCATTACTAGTAGTATTCTTATTAATAGTATTATTAGTATAATTCGTCTTAGTAGTATTATTATGAATATTCTTCTTAGTATTAGTAGTACTGCTGGTAGTATTACTGCTCGTCTTTTTAATAGGAATAGTCTAGTGCGCCTTCTTCGTCTTATTATGAGTAGTAGTAGTAGTATATTATTTGTAGTAGTAGTATTCTTATGATTATTATTATTGGTATTCGTCGCCTTAGTCTTCTTAGTATCAATATCATTATTAATATGTGTAATAATATTCGCACTAGTATTATTAGTATTCGCCGTCGTAGTCGCATTATTATGCTTAGTGTTATTATTCGTATGCGTTTTCTTATTCCTCTGATTATAAAGAATATTCTTCTTAATTGTAGTATTAGTCGTCGTCGGTTTCGTATTCTTAGTAGTCGTATCATTCGTCTTATTCGTATTGTTATTATTCGTATTCGCCATATTAGTATTCGTGGTAGTATTAATATTCGTAATATTCTTAGTATTAGTATTATTAGTATCATATTCTTAGTATTCGTAGTATTCTTAGTATTCGTGACATATTAGTATTCGTATTATTCTTCTTAGCACTATCATTATTAGTCGTTTTCGTTTTCTTCTGATTAGTCTTATTATTATGCTTCTTAGTACTGTCATTATGTGTAGTGTTCTTATTATCTTATGTGTAGTATAAATGTTCATTTTATTATCCGTATTCTTCTTATTATTAATCTTGATATTCTTCATAATAGTATTATTATTCGTATGTGTATTCATATGTTTCTCCCTCCTCCTCCTCCTCGTGCTCTCGCCCCTCCTAGCCCCTCCTCCACCTCCTCATCCTCCTCGTCGCCCCTCCTGACACCTCCTCCTCCTCCTCCTCCTCCTCCTCCTCCTCCTCCTCCTCCTCGCCCCTCCTCCACCTCCTCCTCGCACCCCCTCGCCACTCCTCCTCCTCCTCCACTCCCTCCTCCTCCTCCTCCTCCTCTCCTCTCCTCCTCCTCCTCCTCCTCCCCGTCCTCCTCCTCCTCCTCCTCCTCCTCCTTCTCCTCCTCTCCTCCTCCTCCTCCTCCTCCTCCTCCTCCTCCTCCTCCTCCTCCCTCCTCCTCCTCCTCCTCCATCCCTCCCTCCCTCCCTCCTCCTCCCTCCCTCCTCCCTCCCTCCCCTCCCTCCCTCCCCCCTCCCTCCTCCCCTCCCCTCCCCTCCCCTCTCAAGCAACCGTATCGGCTCGAGCTGGGCGCCCGCAGCCATTTTGCCCTCGGCCGCGGCGGCGCGCGCCATTGCGGGGCCTCGGATTCGATACGCCTGGGGGCTGGACCACGGTAGTGTGCTTGCTTGAGCGGTACCTCGTTTGCAGGTGCTGAACGCCCAGGGTTTTCTTCGGCCTCATCTTCTTCATGAATGGCGAGCACGTGGAAATCGTCCTGCGCGTGCCCATCGGCGCCGAGGTCGAGTTCCGAGCTGTGGCACGTGCCGCTGCCACCACCACCGGGGGATGTGCGAGTCCAACGCGCCCCACTGTATTGGGAGGGGGCTGCTCACGCGCAGAGTCTGGTGGCTTGCCCGCCGCCCCCGACTACTACATCCCTGTCTCCATGCCCGTACAGCAGCTCTTCCGCCGCTGTCGCGATCTAGGCCAGGATGGAGGAGTCCAAGATGGAGGAGAAGTCGCAGCAGTTTTTCACGAGGGCCAAGTTCATCGTTGGCGACAAGAGGGGCAGCAAGGGGCACAAGAAGAAGAAGAAGAAGCTGAACGCAGTGCAGGTGCAACAGAAGTACATCGTGATGGAGGCGTCGAAGGAGGTCCGCGTGCCGACCCCTCCGAGGCGCCCGGTACCTCGGCCGCCGCCGCCGCCGAGGATGTCCATCCCGATGGAGGTGGAGGTGCACGCGTCGGAGGAGATGGAGGAGGCGCAGCCATTGCCAGCGCCGCCGCCGCCCCCCAGGCGCGCCGGTACACCGCCTCGCCGCTACAAGAGCCAGCTGACGGGGGAGTGGAGGCCGTGCACGCGGTGGAGCGCGACCTCAAGCTCCGCTACAAGGCTGGCCTGAACGTTGAGAAGCAGTTGCACGGCTACGACACAAAGGAGAGGGTCAGCCAGGACGAGGCCTCGGATGGGATGGAGGACCTCGGCCGTGACATGGAGGATTCTGCTCTGGACCGAATTCGCGATGATGAGAATGACGAGCACGCATTTTGCCACAGCCTTCAAGTTCAAGATTCCGCTGAAGTGCAGCACTTTCGCTTGGATGTTTCGGACGAGTTATTGGGAGTGGGCACAGAAGCTGGTGAAGGCGTCGCTGAAAGCACGGCTATATCTGGCGATGGTGTCGGCTCTGCATCTGCATGTTCCTCTTCACGATTCGACGGTGATTTCCTGAAGCAGTTGCTGAAGTCGATTGAAGATCGGCAGCGGGCTTCCTACTCGGTACGGCAGTGGAACCGCCTTACGACCTGGTTCAGGCGTGCCTGGTGGGGGACACCTGAAGAGTTTCGCGGGTCTCTCTCTTCCCTTGCGGGCGACCTGGAGTTTGAGCAGTTTGTCTTGGTCTTCGAGACTCAGTCCGAATACTATCGAGCAGATGTTGCGCTGGCTGGCGTTTGAATCACTTTCGAACTTTCGTCGTAACGCTATGGGTCTGGAAACTTTTCCCACAATGCTCATAGATCCGGCATTTTCTTCACGCTCTCCTTAAACTCGATTAACAATTTGGTCATCATCGGCAAGTAGGGCCTCGTGTGCCCGCCATTTTCATGCCTGCCCTCTAATCCCCGCGGGAGCTTAGTGTGGCAGTCGCCTACAGCACAAAAAAATCCCCTCCCCTCCCCTCCCCCTCCACCTCGCCCCTCCTCGCCTCTCCTCATCCTCCTCCTCCTCCTCCTCCTCCTCCTCCTCCTCCTCCCTCCTCATCATCCTCCTCCTCCTCCTCCTCTTCCTCCCTCCACTCCACCTCCACCTCCACCTCCACCTCCACCTCCTCCTCCTCCTCCCTCCTCCTCCTCCTCCTCCTCCAACTCCTCCTCCTCCTCCTTCCTCCTCCTCCTCCTCCTCCTCCTCCTCCTCCTCCTCTCTCCTCTTCCTCCTCCTCCTCCTCCTTCCTCCTCCTCCTCCTCCTCCTTCCTCCTCCTCCTCTTTTCCTCCTCCTCCTCCTCCTCTCCTCCTCCTTTCTCTCTCCTTCCTCCTCCTCCTCCTCCTCCTCCTCCTCTTCCTCCTTCTCCTCCTCCTCGCCCCATGTCCCCCTCCTCCTGCCCCTTTTTCTCGTGCTCTCGCCGCTGCTCCGTCCGGGCCTGGATCACCGAGCCCGTGGCCTCTGTTCTCCTCCCCATCATCTGGCCCTCCTCCACACGTGTCCCAACTTCTCTTGCCTGCCCAACTGTGCGGGGACGCAGGATAAAGACATCGATTCATATCGATATAGAGTCAGAGAGATACAAATTAAATCGATTCGGGAAATATGAAGAGGGGGAAACAAGAGGAAGAGAAAGAAAGGACGAAAGAAAGATACAGAGAAAGAAAGAAAAAGAGATAGAGAGAGAGACAGAGACAGAGACAGAGAGAGAAACAATAAGCCCAGCGCGACCCCAATCTGGGGAAAGCTTCTTATTATATAGACGCATTGCTAGGCATTGCTTGGCATTGCTTGCCGTTGCTTGGCATTGTGTGGCAATGCTTTGCATTAGTTTGGATGTTCTGCATCGCTTTGCATTGCTTTGCATTGCTTGCTATTGCTTTGCTTCGTTGGGCGTTGATTGGCACGGCTTTGCGCCGCCTGGGCTTTGGCCATCGTGACGAGGGGGTGCCACGTGGCGCACGAAGGCCCTCATGCCCGCGTTCAGGCTGGTCTGCTGGGTTTGGTGCACACCGGCGAGATGTTTGCCGCGGCACCATGGCGCATACTCGCAGCGCGCGCGCGTGAACCGCGGGAATCCCGTGCTCCAGATGGCGGCACTGCTGCGCCAAAGTGGCCCGGCCGCTGGAGATGTCTTGCGCGCCCGGTTGAGCGGGCCACTCTTCGTCGAAGATGCCATCGCACCCCATTGCCGCGCGTTGCTAGTTGGCGGGCAAGGGCGGGGCACCGGCGCCCTCGGTTCCGTCGGCCCCACCCTCCATGTCGCAGTCGGCCGCGTCCTTTATGGCAAGGTGGCTGTCGTCGATGCGCGTCATGCTGTCCTTCTTTGCGCTGCTGGTTCGTTTGCAAGCACCCAGCTCGCTGGTTCTTAGCTGATTCATCCGCGGTGGCGGCGGCGATTCTGGGCTTGCCCGCAGTCTGAGCAGCGCCAGCATGTAAGATCTGGCAACCGCCCTGTCCAGGGGAAGGGTCGGCCCCTGAACCCCCCATAAGCGAGGGTAATCCCACCGCGTGTTTCTCCGTCACAATGGTCTCTGGTGAGACGATCGTGGCAACGTGACCTTTCGGTTGGCCCGCCTTGGCTGAACATTCTAACGCCCAACCTGACGACGGCCCATGGGATGGTAGATCTGCGGAAGGTGGATCGTAAAGTCTGGCAGAGGACTGGCCGCCTTCACAATGGCGAAATCACCCCTGGCGGCTTTGTCCCAGCCTGTGCGCTGCACCTCACAGTGCCACCTAATGGATGTGAGCGCCTTCGTGATTCGTGTCTCAGTAGCACTCTGCGGCTCAAATCCTGCGACGCGGCACATGGCGTTGGCCAGTGCTGGGTAGCTCGACGGCCACTTGATTCGCCCCCTGGGTGCCCAACTCAAACCTGACGCCAACTCTCTCGTCCGCCCTTCCCGGCCCGCAGACGTTGCGATTGGCGGTGATATGGTAGGCTTGTTAGAGCAGGTCTGGCGGCCGCCAGTGCACCACACGGTGGCGTAATCAGCGGCTTGAGGCCCTTGGAACCGCAGTAACTGACGTCGAATTGGATGCTTCCTTGGCCCGAAGCAGAGAAAACCAATGGGGCGTCGGCCGGCTCGATGCAGCGAGTAGCCGCCGGCCTGCGCTTTCCGTCAGCTGCGCCATGGCGCCCAAGTTCCACGCGCTCCTGGACTTGCACGGCAGGGAAGCGGGACACGAACACGGCCGCGGCGGCGTCGGTGAGGTCTTCATCCGCCAGGAAGCGCGCAGCATCTTTCCTTGCTGATTGGTGGCGTTCCTCTGCCCGTTGCTGCGCCGCGCCTGGTCCGCGCGGTGCGGCACCTGAGAATTGGGCCAGGAATATATCCGAATGCGGGCGCGACAGCGATGATGTCCGCTTCACAAATTGCCTAGTTTGACTTGCACGATCTTTTGGGGCACTTGACCTCTTCACGTCCGACCTGGTAGATGGCACATTGGATGCGGCCCAGCGCGGGTTTGGCAGCCTTCGCCGCGCGCTGCAGCACTGCGACCAGCATTTCTCTGCCAAGGTGGTCCATGTTGATGAGCCCCCGAACTGCGAAGGCGCGCGGTGTGTCCCGAGCGCGGGTATGTCGGAGCAGGCTGTCGCCGTCCTCGAGCGTGCGAAGTGCAATGCTGCTGGTGCATGACAGTAACTCATCGTCCATGTCGGGCGCTGCGGTAACAGGGACGTCCCAGTTTTGCGCGCCGAAGCTAACAGAACAAACTTCACAAGGCCGGTGATCGGGTGATCCGGTGATCCGGTGATCCGGCGATCCGGTGATCCGGTGATCCGGTGATCCGGTGATCCGGTGATCCCGGTGATCCGGTGATCCGGTGATCCGGTGATCCGGTGATCCGGTGATCCGGTGATCCGGTGATCTGGTGATCCGGTGATCCGGTGATCCGGTGATCCGGTGATCCGGTGATCCGGTGATCCGGTGATCCGGTGATCCGGTGATCCGGTGATCCGGTGATCCCGATCCGGTGATCCGGTGATCCGGTGATCCGGTGATCCGGTGATCCGGTGATCCGGTGACCGGTGATCCGGCGATCCGGTGATCCGGTGATCCGGTGATCCGGTGATCCGGTGGTGATCCCGTGATCCGGTGATCCGGTGATCCGGTGATCCGGTGATCCGGTGATCCGGTGATCCGGTGATCCCGTGATCCCGTGATCCCGTGATCCGGTGATCCGGTGATCCGGTGATCCGGTGATCCGGCGATCCGGTGATCCGGTGATCCGGTGATCCGGCGATCCGGCGATCCGGTGAGCCGGCGATCTCGCGATCCGACGCTCGGCGATCTGGCGATCCGGCGAGACGGCGATTCGGCGGTCCGGATCCAGCGCCCTGGCGAGCCGGTGATCCGCATGATTTTCACCACGTAGATTCTATTACATGGATGGCACAGTACATCTTACACCACCCGGCTTGCGCCGATAGCTTGCACCACGTCGAGTGGACCGCATACATAATCCACATAGCTCGCAGCACATAGCACATAGCGCACACCGCATACCTTGCACCACACACCTTGCGCCACATAGGTTAGAGCTCATAGACCACCGCTGAGTGTGCACCTCACACACTGTGCCGCAGAGCTTATGCACCTCATACCTTACGTCGCATAGTGCGCACCATATAGATCGCACCGCATAGTTCAGACCACGTAGATTGTACCACATCGCTGCGCCCGTACAGCTTACACCACACGGCTTGCACCGCATTGCTTGCACCTCATAGCTTACACCGCATGGGGTGCACTTCATCTTGTGGACCGCATAGCCCATCTACATAGACCGCAGCACATAGCACATATATTTCACCACACAGCTTGCACCGCATAGAGTGCACCTCATAGCTCACACCGCACAGCGTGCACCACGCACATGGCACCGCGTAGCCAACCCACATACCTAACACCACTCAGCCTGCACCGCATGCATTTCACTACAAAGGTTGAAAGAAGTCGCTGCGAGGGGCCCACGCTGGCTGGCATGTTTTGCTGGCAAGTACACAGCACCAGTACCGCGAGTACACAGAGCGCATTACCGGTCTCTCGGCTGGGCCGCCGGCCCGCCCGAGCGATCTACGCCGTCGTGCCCTCTGTCGGTCGGCTTGGCCGAGAGACGTCCGGGTCGTGCTTCATGTTGCCGCGGGCGTACCTCCTGCGGTTGCACTCCGCCTGATGGACCAGCCACTCGTTGTGCTCCGTGAACAAAGCCCACCAGTACACGCCGAAGTGGCCTGGAGTCATCTCCCGCCCAGGCGCAGTGCGCTCGTTGATCCAGGAATTCAATTGCTCGCAAGCCTGCGTGTTCTTGCCCGCCATGAGCACTGCATTATCCTCAGAGTCGGGATCCACCTCTGGTAGATTGCTCAGGCACCACGCATGGTTGCCCTTGTGGAAGCCGTCCAAGATCATCTTCACCTTATCCACGAACTCCTGGGACCACGGCTTCTGAAGCTCTCTCTTCGCCCTGGCGAAAGCGAGCAACTGGCACGCGCTGTCGTATCCTATGACTTGGAGCGCCGCCTTCAGCTCTGAAAGATCCTTGAACAGCCGGAGGAAGAACAAGTACATCACCTCGATGCCTTCCCCTCGCCACAATTCCTGCCAGTCGGCCAGATAGCCGCACTGGAGAACGGCGGTCACGATACCGCCCGTGCAGCGCCTTCGCCGCGCCTCGGACGCGTTCTCTTTGCTGATGCCGCAGGACGTTTTCTCGACCGGCACCTCGCGGGCAGCGTAGAGCCAATTGGAGCCGACGGCGTCGCGGCGAGCGGCGGCCGCAGTGCTAGGCGTGCGCTTCGCCCGCCCAAGTGCCTGCGCGGGCGCCGCGGCGCTGCCCCGCCGCCGGCCGCGCGGCTTGGCTGCCCCCGCGGGGGCGGCCTTCGCCTTCGCCTGCCCTTGGCGCTTGCCGCGCGCCCCCGCGGCCCCCTGCGGCGCGCTCTTCCTGGGCCCAGTGGATGCCAGCGCGCGGGGGCCATCCGCCATCGCGCGCCTCTTGCGCGCGCCGCGCCCCGCGGCGACCCGCGGCGGCGCGCTCCTCTTGAGCCCGCCGCTGGCGCTGCTCCGCGGCGGCTGCGGGGCGCAGGAACCGCGGGCACCCTTATGCCAGAGCGTCTTCTGCAATTTGCTCTTCCACGTGGGCGGCTTCTGCAACTTCTGTCGCGGGTCGCTCCGAAGGGGGAGACTGCCGACCTCGAACTGCGCGAGGAGATCCTGCCGCACTTCGGAACGCGGGAGCGAGAATTCGAAGAGCTCCCCGTCGCTGGCGACGGTCTTGCATTCGACGACGCAGCGGGTCTCCAAGCCGAAACCGCCGTCCGGGGCCGGCGCCAGCTCGGCTCGTAGGACCCGGAGTTGGGGGACTAGGCCAGTCTGCTCTTTACAAGGAGGTCGACATGTCTGGCACAGGTGGCGCCTACCGCCGACGCGCGCCCGGCACCCCGTGTACAGCGTGGCGCCCACGTCTGGATAGGTGATGGACCCGTCAGTGCCGGCGCAGACGTGGCGGCAAGCCCCGCGCTTCCCGTCGCCGATGACCAGGAGCAAACGCCGGCACCGCGGGCACGACGCCACGTGAGAAGCTATTCTTCTCAAGTTGGCCATGCGGAATGCAGGCTGCAGCTGGACTAACGTCGCAACAAATTGCGACAGTTCGAAAGACCACGTCTGCTCCTTAGCTGCGTCGCCGGCCAAACGCGTGGCCTGCCACGTGAACCTCGCGAGTTCAAGGCAGTCGCGGGTGTGATGTACAAGGGTCAAATCATCTCCCACAGTCAACCGGGCCTGGATCGCGCTGCGGTGCTGCCGGGCCCACACGTGTACTATGGAAGTGAAGGTGGCCCCGCTGAACGCCAATTGGTCTGCGACTGTACGCAGGAAATGAGTCTCCACCGCAAAATAACTCTGCTGCCGGGGGATGACCACGCACAGGTCGTCAACCGTACTGCCCACGAACTTGACATCTGTGCAGCGACCGAACGTCGGCTGACCACGCTCGCCAACGTTCTTTCTGTAGGACCATCCCCCCAAGAAGAAACGCGAGCACTTCGGGCACCGGCTCTCTTCAAACACTGCGTACTGCACGCCAGCGGTCCACGAATATATTTTATACCGGACGGTAACATTGCTCTCTGGTGGCGTTCCCGCGCGGGCGGCTTCGGCTTTCAAAATTGGTAAATTTCGGCCGCGGGCGATTTTGTCGATGCCCGGGCACGGGCAGAGGGAGATCCCCTCGCAGTGCGGGCACGTGCCTTGGCGAGCAGGAGTGCGAACAAGGGTGACATCTGGAGCCGCATCCTGCATTTCCTTCAAACGTGCTGCCAGTTTGCCTGGTTGGCAGCGGTTGGTCACCAAGCTCGGCAAATATGTTTGCACCTCCCAAAGAACGTTTGCCAGCACAGTGTCGTCGACCTGTCCATAACCCTGCTCGGACAGGACGCATTTCAGGACAGGCAAGGCGAGGGCGGCATCGACGTGCGCCAACACGTCGCAGAAAGCCGTGGTGCACTGCACAGGCAAAGGCTCCAGAATCCGAGCAAGGGAGAAGTGCTCCCCTGGATCGCCGGCCATGGCGAAGCCGACGCGGTCGGAATATGCGAACAATGTCCGAGGGCGAAGCTGAGAGGACGACCTCGCATCCTTGAGCCTAATTGGGCCAGGACGGGGATGGCAAAGACGATGAGAGACACGATATTACAAATCAGAAGCTGATATTGCCACGACGTCCGGACCTTAGAAAAGAACGAGCGGGGTACGCAAGAAGACACAGACAATTAAAAACAATGCGCAGCATCATGTTGGTTGCCGTGTTGTCCGCTTGACGTTGTGCCGGGACCTTCCGAAGAGGTTCAAGAATGATGGGAAAAAAACGGAATCTGAGAACCCGGAGACGAAAGAATGGAAGGGGGGAGAGGCAGGAGCGAGGAGAAGTGGGCAGCAGGAGGGCGGGAGGCATTGCAGAGTGGAGCCTCGTAGCCCGTCTCGGGCGGCTCCTGGGAGTTTCTTGGGGCGGAGGTTGTTTTGGGCGCTTCGTCTTCCAACCTCCTTTTTGCCCCATCGGGGACGCCCCCCTCCCCCCCCCCGGGGTCTGGAGGAGGGCCGCGAGGCGTCAGAGGGTGGTCGTTGGCCCACGATGGCTCCCAGAGGGTCTCAAAGATGTCAAGATGGTCTCCAAGATGGCTCCATATTGTGCATGGTGGCTCAAGTTGGCTCCAAACATGCTCCGAGAGGCTCCTGGGCCGCTCCACGACGAGCCAAAATGAATTGGGCCTCCCTAGGGCGCGAGGAGCCCAAATCATGTAAACAACAAAAGAAATCACATGAGTTTAGCCTTCTCGCGTTTTCGCTTCCGATGGCCTTCTGAGGCTTCATGATGGCCCCAAGAGAACCCAACAGCCCCACGAGGGCCCAAGACGGCTCCAAGATGACCCCAAGGGCCCCAGAGCGCCCAAGAGCGCTCCAAGAGAGCTCCAAGCGGCGACCTCGGGGGCTTAAGAGGGGCAACGGTGAGGAGAGTTCTGGCCCAAGAGGGTTCCAAGATGGCTCCAGATGTTTTACGATGGCCTCCGACATGGCCATCGCGAAGAATCCGCCCCAGGGAGGAGGAAAATGTACAATTGGAGAAACAGATAACGTTTTCCCAACGTGCTCAAACGAACGCTGGAAATAGCCAATGGCCAAGCGCACGGTAGAAGTACACGGCCGATCAAAAGAGCGACCGGCCAGGGAAGGGCGGTATATGAGCCAGCCGAGCAAGGATTTAGTTGGAGAGCCAAAATTGCTGGCCGCCGGGCGGCCTGGTGCCGCTGCTGTGGGCGAGAACGCCTGCAGCAGCACGGGCGAATTGTGCGACAGCTCTTGGCCGCCTGGTGGGGCCCCCACCCCGCGGGGTACGCGGCCCCTGCTTATGGGGGGCAGCTGTGGACCTGGACTGTGCAGCCTGGCAGGCTAAGGAGCAACTATCTAGGGCCTCACCATAAGAGGTTTAGCGACTGGTGCCCTAGTTGCGGCTGCGGCATTCGCGGAGGCTGGGTCCTAACGCCTGGAGCGGCGTGGCTAGGCAAAGGCAGATACTGCGCCGCCCTATGATGAAGGCGCGGGGCAAAGGCTTAACATTGATGTGATGGCTGCGTATCTGGCTAACAGCGCTGCCACCTGATGCCCCGGGGGCATATTCTGGGGAGGCGGGAGAATCGAGGTAGGAGGGGAGGCCGCGCGTGCATCCCCGAATGGCTCCAACAACCAAATCTTCAAAATCGCAAACATCGGCAGCAAGGGAGGGAAGAAGACGGAGAGGGAAGGAAATGTAGGGAGGTGAAGGGGAGAGAGAGAGAGAGAGAGAGAGAGAGAGAGAGAGAGAGAGAGAGAGAGAGAGAGAGAGAGAGAGAGAGAGAGACAGAGACAGAGACAGAGACAGAGACAGAGAGACAGAGATAGGCATGCACCTAAAAGAGAAGCCGCCACCGAGACAAAGCTCCCGGAGGCTGGGCGCTGGGCGCACGCGGCGATTGAAACGTCCACCTGCCGATCTCCCATGGCGCCTTTACATTTAGCGCGGCTTCGGGGCCCACTCAGGAATGGCCGCCCCGCCCCGGACGCGACCAACGCTCCCGGCGGCTCCCCGGAGGCTCTCGACCCGTCTCCGATATCGATTGCTCCGCGGGCTCGTGTCTGTGGACCCCGGGGCCTGAATGGGCCCCATGGGCGCATTCAACCTTGCACGTCGGGGACGACGACGACGACGACAGCCACGACGGCGGCAACGACGGCGACGACGACGACGATCACGGCGGCGGCGGCGGCGGCGGTGGCGACGGCGGGGACGGCGGCGGCGGCGACGAGGACGGCGACGACAACGACGGCGGCGGCGGCGGCCGCGACCGCAGGCCCGGGCCCGGAAACGTGTGAGAGGTATGCCGAAATGAGCGGCGGGCACGCAAGCAAACTGCGCCACTGGATCTTCGGTGGAGCTCCCCATTGGTCCGTGAAACTTGTCAGGGCCATGCCGGCAAATTGCGCCACTGCATCTGACGTAGATCTCCCCAGAGGCCCACGAAACGTGTGAGGGGCATGCCGACATGGGCGGCGGAGCCTCCCCATGGGGGGCCACGAAACGTGTGAGTAGCGTGGCGCGGACCCGTGAGGCTGCGTCTGGGGCCTCTGCGCGCTGCGTCGGGGGCCTCTGTGGGCAGCGGGAGGGGCACGAAACCGAACAAACAACATGGATGACCGATACTGTCCTCGCTCAGGCGGGGCCTCCCTGGATTGGCAATCGCCGGCCGACCCGCCCGACCCGCCCCGCCAGCCCCGCCGACCGACACGGCGCCCGCCCGCCGGTCGTCCGGCGATCCGGCGATCCGGTGATCCGGTGATCGGTGATCCGGTGATCCGGTGATCCGGTGATCCGGTGATCCGG